ATAATCTAACGGTCCCCGAAAATCCTAATTAATAAATAGGAAAAAGGGCCAAAAGAAAACAAATAAAACACACTACGAGAGAGGTCTACTAGTCCAAATTCGCATCCGGTTGAAATTTCACTTTCCACATATCCTGGGCAATATCGAGGCTGGCCACAATAATATCGACACCGTCCAATTAAATTCATCCCGGAACTCCGAGAAATTCCACACCAAAGTTTGGTCTCTAAATAACGGCCAAATTCGATCGAGTGCGATTCTAGCGAAATCTCAATTTTAAAAACAATAACCGAGAGTGATCAGTTCCCGGGCGAGATTTTATTATAAGCGCACTGACGAATTACACGTTTTATAAATCCCAAAAATGGACCGAAATTCGGAATGTCACATTGCAAGCACATCTTATAGTGGTTTGGCTTATATTATGCTTAGGTTCGCTCTCTTAGATTAACAGCCACCAACAAAACTGTAATCCACTAGTAATACACAGAAGCAATGATACTTTTACCCGAAGCTGATAGATCGCACTATCAATACACAAGCACTACTTTTACACTTGTACACTTCTCAATTCACAAATTACAATCAGCAAGAACTCTCAATAGAGTGAAACACAAGTAAGAAATGGCAAGTCTGTAATAGAGAGAGAGAGAACGAGGCAAATTCAGAAGTATAACTTTCTCAATTTTCACCCATTTTTCTAGCTTGCTTTGAATCTCTTGTATAGGTCTTCAATCTCCAAATTAGTCATTGAGAATCTTCAAGAGGATCAATTAGCCATTGGAATCTGATAAACACAATCACCAGAAATTTGGCCGCCCATACAGTTTGATATTCCTTACGATGGTAAGGTTTCCTTAAATAGAGTCTAACTATTTTTTGTCAATCTCATGTTCCTCTAATTCAGTGAGCAAAATCGGCAAGAAGTGATTTAATTTATCTCTGGTTCTTCTTTCTAGAATTGCAGGCCTTGAAGCTAGCTATTAATCCTTTTGACCTTCAATTTAAGTCGAAGGAATATCTGGTCTTCTTATTAAAGTAGCGTAAACACGTGATAAGAATCTTCCTTCCGGTTGGCATAGGGATCTACCTTTATCAGCAATTTAGTGGGTCTATCCAAGCTGCCGACTGAAAATTAACTTCAAAAATAGATTAGGGAGAGAGCTTAGAGGTGTGCACTAAAAGGGGGATCTTATGTCACATGCTGCTCGAAGGCGAGAAGAAGTTTTATTGAATGCTACTTTCCTCTACGAAGGACCACCTAGATCAAACTATCGACTTCTTCAAGCATAGAAAGGGTAACAGCTATCTATTAGTGATCTCGAGTATACTAGCAATCAAGACTTTACTCATCTATTCAGCTTATCATGGTCTCTCAAAATATTCACAAACAGTTCATTCTCCTAGACTTGTTCACCCTTTATCAAGGTCCATCCAGCTTCTAGGCGTCTTTCCACTAATACTTCAAATGCCGTTAATGGTGACAAAGCATTCCTTAATCAACATCACCTGAAATAAACAACATCTATATATGTCATTTAATAATTAGAGATAGATAGTTTTGTCAATTTTAAAATATCATAGGGAAGTTTTCCCTAACAAATAATAGTTACTTCATTATTACCAAGTTGCTTACTTAGCCACAACTAGAAAATGGGAAGTGACTCAAATTTTGATTGTAATTTCATATAAAAGTAGCTAACTTTAAAATGAAAGCAAGCTACTATAAAGCGTGGTAACTTATCATGAACTAATAAATATTTTTAACAATCAATTGGAATTGGTTAGTAAATCACACCGCTAGGCTTATAGCAGTTGATAGCTTCGAACAAGAAAATTTGATAAGTCATGCAAATAAAGATTGGTAAACCTATTGGGTAAACATAAGTTTGTAAATTATTATAAATTTATGTTGGTGGTTCAAGCATGATTTAGTAACCTAAATCTACTAAATAAGTAATTAATTGGACCAAATAAGCCGTCAATCCAATAAAAAACTTAGTAAAACGTCGGTAATTAACTCAAATGAAAGTTAATAACCCAGAACTAGTTGGTAACTTACCGACTTATAGAGTCAGTAGTTCAACGTCTCCGAAGGAGTTTCCAAGAATGTTGTTTGCATTATAATTTTCGAGAAAAGCTGATAGGCCACTCAGATTAAATTTGGTAATTTCATATTGAGATTAGTAAATTTAAGACACAGGTAAGAAAGGTATGTACAAGTTGGTCATTAAAAAAAAATAAGCATTGAAAGTAACTCATATGAAAGTCAGTAACCAAAATTAGTTGGTAATCTAATCAGATTGGTAAGTTACGTTAACCAAGGTTGGTAACTTCTAGAAAGATGTGGCAAATTAAGGCGTTAGTAAGAAAATCAAATAAAAAATTATGAAAGCTAAGATAAGTTGGTATATTACAAAAAATAAACATTGACAAGTAACTCAAATAAAAGTTAGTAACCCAATACTATGTGATAACTTAATAAGAGAAAAGTTGGCGAGCCATGCTATAGATTGGTAATCTCTAAAAAGAGTTATTAAATTTGTGGGGTTGCTAATGTAGACAAAATATAATTTGGTTAATTAATATAAAAGTTTGTAAATTAAGAAAAAATAACAATAAACATTGATAAGCAATTCAAACGAGGGTTGGTAACTCAAAACTTGTTGATAATCTAATATGACATTTGTTTAAAAAAAAAGAAATTAATATGATAGAAATTAGTAAGTCACGCTAATTTAGATTGGCAATTTCATCAAGAGTTAGTATTATCGAAGTGTTATTAACTTATGCAAATAAAGTTGGTAAGTCAGTACAAAAGTTGGTAATTAGTAAATTATCATGTGATTTCCTAAAAGTATCAGTAAGTTATTAAAAAATTGATATCTCAAAAAAGGAAAGTCAATGGTCATGATGATGATGTGAAGGAAGGCAGATCGTCAAATTTAATACTTACCGATACTTAATGAAATTTTCTGTAATGGAAAATAAAATCCGAATTTTTTGTCACGAAATAATTTTCTGCGATGAAGGAAAGCAGATAAACGAAGATAGAGAAAAGTGCCAAAAAGTTCCTAAACCTTTTGCATTTGTGCCAATTTAGTTTTAAACCTTTTTTTGGTGCCAATTCAGTCCTAAACCTTTGCATTTGTGCCAATTTAGTCCTAAACTTTTTTTTTGTGTCAATTCAGTCATAAACCTTTTTTGCATTTGTGCCAATTCAATCATAAACATTTTGTCTTTGTGCCAATTCAATCCTTCCGATCAATTTTGGCTAGATTTTGTTGACGTGGATGCCGGCCGGCCGGCGGCCGGTCACCGAGGCTGACATGGACAACTTTAATAATATTTTAATTTTTTTCTTTTTTTTTCTTTTATTTCTTTTTTCTTTTCTTTTTATTTCCCCTCCCCTCCCTCCTTCCTCCAGCCGATCGCTGGACCGGCGACCGGCCAGAGGCCAGAAGCCGACACCGGCGAGGCTCGCCCTCGCCAACAACGGCAAAGGCGAGCCTCGCCATGGCCGGGCGAGGCCCGATCTCGCCAGATTCGGTGAGGTCGTGCCTAGCCCGACCATGGCGAGCTCGCCTTCGCCGTCGCTGGCGAGGGCAATCCTCGCCAGCGGCTGGGGGAGGTCGAGCCTCTGGCCTCTGGCCGATCGTCTGTCCGGCTGGAGGAAAGAGGGAGAGAAGGGGGAAAAAAATAAAATAAATAAATAAATAAATAAAAATTTAAAAAAATATTAAAATATTATTAAAGTGGTCCAGGTCAGCATCGGTGAATGGCCGCCAGCCGGTCAGCGTCCACGTCAGCAAAATCCTGTCAAAATTAGTTGGAAGGACTGAATTAGTACAAAAACAAAAAGTTTAGAAATGAATTGGCACAAATACAAAAAGTTTAGGACTGAATTGGCACCAATGCAAAAGGTTTATGACTAAATTGGTACAAAAAAAAAAGGTTTAGGACTAAATTAGCACAAATGCAAAATGTTTATGACTTTTTTGGCACTTTTCCCAACGAAGATGTGTGTAGTATGATATATGACTGATGACCAATTAAGGAAAACGATTAATCACTTGACTTGCTTCTCTATCCTCCTCCACAAACATCATGGTCCTCCTTTTCTCCAATCTACATTAATGTACGATACACGCACATCGGACATAGAGTACACATCAAGGATTTACTAAAAGCACAATTACTTAGAGAATGTGTCTCAAGTTGCATCTTCTAGTCCAAGAGAATTTCTAGTGGGCTCGTTGCTTCAGTCGAGTCTTTATGTCATAAGCTGGATATTTGATAAAGGAATAAGTACACTGAAAGTCTTAAAACTTATCACGATAGTGCATTAAGTCCTAAAACTTTCAAAAATGTAATCAAGTCCTAAATCTTATCATGAAATTGCAATCGCCTAAAACTTTCAAAAAGTATAATTAAGTGCTAAAACTTGTCACGAAAGTGCAATTGAGTCTTAAAAATTTCAAAACGTGCAAGTGATGAAAGGGTTTAATTTGACTAATTTAATAAGTTTTATGACTTGATTGCACTTTTTGAAAGTTATAGGACTTGATTGTACTTTGTGATAAGTTTTAGGACTTAATTGCACTTTTTAAAAGTGTTGGGACTCAAATGCATTTTCATGACAAGTTTTAGGGCTTCCAATGCATTTGCCCCTTTGATAAAAGATGATTAATTACAGTCTGATTAGTCTAATCTACATCGGTGGTAAGTTTGTAGCTTGTAAATACATGAAATGCTTCGACCAAAAAAAGAAATACATGAAATGCAAATTGTGGTATTCTTTCTTTGTCAGACGTGACAGAAGCTGCTACATCCTTTTGCCAAAAATCACATCTTCCCCCACCGTCAATGTCAATCCGAGGTCCCGCGCTGTGTACGAAGAACTTTTGTGAGCTGAATCGACGTGAATGGACCCACTTTTATGGGGTTAAATACTTGCTCTTCCCTGGGAGGGCAAACTATCGGGAAAGAGGAATATTTTCTCTCACTTCCTCCTCCTCCTCTCTCTTCCTTGTAAACTCTCTCTCGCAAGCCCAAACAAAATTTAGGAGACAGTACCGACTGCAACTTCAGAAAAATCAAACACTTTTGTCACCATTATATTCTTTTATGCAAGTTGGTATGTAATTAAGCATACGATTTTCAGTTTTTCTTCTTTCGGTAAAAACTGATAAACGTAAAGAATGGAGGGAATGTCTTCACATCTGAAGGAACTATGGGAGGGATGGGAACTGCGAGCCCTGGTCCTCCTCAGCCTCACCATTCAAGTTCTGCTCATAATCCTCGGGCGTCACCGGAAGTACCGGCCCGACTTGTGGCTGAAGGCGCTGGTCTGGTCGTGCTACTTGGCGGCTGACGCGGTCGCGATATACGCGCTCGGCAAGATCGCGACCCGGCTCAAGCAAATGCGGAGCGAGCTCGGTGCCACCGCCAAGGGGCTGGACCCAGATGCGCAGATGACTGCGTTCTGGGCGCCGTTCCTGCTGCTGCACCTGGGCGGTCCCGACACCATCACGGCCTACGCCCTAGAGGACAACGAGCTCTGGATGAGGCATTTGCTCGGGCTCCTCGTCCAAACGACCGGCACGCTGTTCATCTTCTTCCAGGCATTGACAGGCTCTGATGATCTCACAGTGCTTTCGCTTCTCATGTTCGTCTCCGGCCTCATAAAGTACGGCGAGAGGGTTTACGTCCTCCGTGCTGCGAGTAGCGAGCAGTTCAGGGACTCGATCCCTGACCCTCCTCTCCATTACTCAAAGATCCTGGAGGAGTATACGTTGAAGGAGGCCGAGGGCTATGACGTCACGCCGCATGAGGTGATTGAGGTACGTGGAGTGAACGCGGAACACAATTCGAAGGCGGGCGTGGATCTTTCGTCTCCTGATGTAAATCTCTTGTCCGATGAATTGAAGAAGAGGAAGGAAAAACAGGGAAAGAGTAAGTGCAGCCAGTCTTTGTTAGCCGCAGCCAGAGGGACGTCCGACTTTTTCCGGCGCCTTTTCGGGGACAAAGATCTTTTACCTGAAAAGATGAAGGAGCGCAACCGAGCCGAGTTGGCAGTCGCCGAAGACCTGATCAACATTTTCCAGCGCCTATTCGCAGATCTCGTGCTTAGCTTCGAGGACCGCGACACTAGCATGTTACTACTCGAGGATAAACATTTTCAGGTGGTATTCAGAGTTATCGAGATTGAACTGGGACTCATGTACAATAAGCTCTACACTAAGGCGATGGTGATCCACAATAAATGGGGCTTTACTCTTCGCTCTGTGAGTGTACTAGTCACCGTCATGGTCTTGGTGCTTTTTTCCAGGTCAGACAAGGACAAATACTCCAAGCTCAATATCTATGTGACCTTTTTGTTGCTCGGGGTGGCCATTCTCCTGGAGATTTATGCGTTATTCGTTCTTCTCTTCTCTGACGAAGCCGCTTGTTGGCTGAAGGACAACAAGCCCTCCGTCCTGAATTTTGTCGAGCGGTTACAACCACTGTATAACAGGCGCAGGTGGTCGGGTTCTATGGCGCAGTACAACCTGCTAAGCTTCGCCCTCAAAGAGAAACACCTCACGTGCCATCCAATCTTAGAGCGGCTACACGTCGACCAGAAGGTTCTGAAGTTCTTGTACAGGGGTAATTTGGAAATAACGGACTATCTAAAAGGACGGCTCCTCAAGCATTTCAAGTCCCAGGCAAAAAGCGAGAAGGAAGTCCAGTCCGTAAGGACCTACCCGGGATATCTCATCCTGAAAAAGCATGAGTTCTTGGACGATTTTAAATGGAGCATCGAGTTAGAGTTCGACCAGAGCATCTACGTCTGGCACATTGCAACCGAGCTCTTATGCCACCCGAAAGATAAGGAAGCTCCTGCAGGCGATCCCGAAATGAGCAAGCAATTGTCTCGGTATATGATGTATCTTTTGGTCATGTACCCTTTTCTCTTGCCTGTTGGAGTCGGACGCATCAGATTCCGAGGAATGTACGCGACTGCGATGAGGTTGCTCAAGGAGCCTGACTCAAAAAAGAAAACCCGTATGGCTGTAGAGACCGAATCCAACATACTTGAAGCTTGCAATGAGCTGCGCACAAACGTTAACACAGAACTAGCTGCGATCATGGCGAAAGGAGATAAGAGCAAATTCGCCCTGTACCAGGGATGCCGGCTCGCGTCGCAGCTGAACAAAGACGAATACCGAGAGAAGAAATGGGACATTATAAGTAATGTGTGGGTGGAGATGCTTGTTTACGCGGCTGTCAAGTGCAAGGGGGTTCAACATGCCCGGCAACTACGACGAGGAGGGGAGTTCCTGACTCACGTCTGGTTCCTCATGGCTCATTTCGGCTTGACCGATCACTTCCAAATACCGTATGTCCCAGCAATCGCCGAGCTGCTGGTGAAGCAGGATTGACTCATCATACCCCGACTCTCAGTGAACCATATGTAACATGTGTTAGCTCCTCATGGCTCATTTCGGTCGACCGATCACTTCTATATGTAACTTGCGTTGGCAGTATAAGCAAATCTTTCCGGAATTTCGTTTCTGTTTCACCGGATCTCGTGAACGGAATATTCTAATTATAGTATTTAGTCCCTTTACCACTCTGATGGGAAGACGACAAATCTTTGCGTTCACTTGAACTCCATGAACATGTACAGGTCGTTATATTCTGTATTCATCCACGGCTTTCTGATTGCTCAAAATCTGCTTAGAACCCGTTTTTGCCTTTGTATATCTAGTGCTCAAGAAAGGCAAAACCAATAGAACTAAGAACGTGACTTTACCATAATTAAATTTTTTATTCCCATTTTAAACACATAAGTTAGCGAAAATTAACTTATCTAAAGAAATTTAATCTCCACATGAAATTTTAAAAATTCATTATGAGGTAAAGAACCACATTCTCCTAAGTCGCTCACGGGTTTACTAGAGAACTTAGATAAGTTATCCAAAGATTGAAATAGCCTTTGATATTTCCTGGTGGATTAGGTAGTTGTAAGTTAAGAGAAGTCTTTATCTTTAGTATAGCAGTAATAATAACTATCATACCATATTTTAAGAAGTTACACGTACTTTACGTCATCTAATGTTTGATTAGATCATTACTTTGTCTACTCAAAATGAATGATATACTTAAACTTTTAATAATTATCAGCCAAGTCTCTTCTTCAGTTGTTTTCCTTGTTTGCTAAACCTGTTAATATAAACGCACGTTTGATTGCTGGTCTCATATAATCATGCATGGCCATATCATTAGAAAATGCTTTAGAGTATTGCAACATTAATTTTTTATTATTTTTACTACTGTACACAAACCGAGTGACTGTATAAGTATTTTGTCGCACATAGTAGAAGTCCATCGAGAAGTTGACTAGTGGCGCTCTCATTGTTTGACACATCTTCGTCCTTTCTCAAAACTTAAGAGTAATAGAACTCCCGTAATTTAAAAAAAGAAAAAGAAAAAGAAATGCCTTCGTTAAAATGAAGTCAAGACCAAAATTGCGAAGAGTTTCTTTCAAGACTTTATACTGCCGTAACACCTGTCCTCCACTTTCTTCTATTTTATTCTTTTGAAATCTATTTTAAAAAGCTAATATAAAAAAAGGAAAAATTCCAAATAAGAACATGAAGTGCCCTTATTTTCTCAAATAAAAGCTTGAAGCAACTATAATAGTTTCAAACAAGGGCCTAACCCCGCTGGCTCGCCGGCCGGCCAAATTTTCCGGGTGGTCAAGAGCATTTTCGTCCAAAAATAATTTTAACATAAATTTTAGTTAAATTAGATTTTTTTTTTTTGGTTGAATAGTTAAATTAGATTAAAAAAATTTTAAAAAGTTTTAAAAAAAAGATGAAAAAAAAAAAGAGAAAAAACAAGCGGGAGGGCTGGCAGCCCTCCTCGCCTGTGGCCACCGCGATGGGGCGGTGGCCATCATTTGCCTAAATTTGAAAAAAAAAAAAGAAAAAGAAACAATTCAAACTTTTACGTGAAAAGCCAAAACAACCCATTTGAGCTACGAAATTGTATCCGAGTACTTTTAGATAAAGATAAATAATTATAGTGGAAAAGTGGATGGTTTTAGCAAACTAGAAACTATCAGGACTCTTTTCACCTCATAGAGTACTGCAGGCCATGAAGAACAAAAATTAAAAAAATGTGCATTACCTAAGTACCGAGAATGAGATGAAAGAGTCACCAAAAAGAAATGACAATAGAAGGGAGATTGAATAGTTGACCAGAAATCATATGGTGATGTATTGATCATTGCCCTCATTGGTGGGATTCATATATGCTGTGAACCTCTTAACAAGTATTGCATCTTTTGAGCACTTTCTCTACCAATGGGGAAGCTCCAGAAAAGTATATTGCATACCAATCACTTGAGTATTTGAATAGGCCGGTCTTGCATAAAGTTACAATGAAAGATATATATCATTTGAACGAGCAGAAGTACTCAATAATCACCTTTTGGATCCTGATTTTTTTAAATAATATTGTATGTGTTTTTACTAAAACATGAAAGATTTATGTGAATCGCTGGTCATCGTGTATCAAGAAAAAAGGCCTCGCTTTGCTTGTACGGTTAAACTTGTCCAATGATAAATCTAGCTCATATTTGTCGAAATAGCTTAATGGAGCAACCTACAAATGCCGTGAACTCCCGGAGCGGGCTGCACCTCCGAGGAAGCGGGTTTGAAGGTAATGTTGAGTTATGGACCAATAGTTCTCAATCAGCATGGCTTCTCCCAAACTTTTACATCATGCAACGTTGGGAAATTCAATCAAAATCCAAAAGATCTAAAGATGAGGGATTGAATCCTAGAAAAGAGTCGCCACTAGCCTATTGGGAAGCCAAGTCAGATATAGGAGGGTATTTCATTTTCTATGCAACCAGAGATCCTAGTAGGAAGACTTGATTATACCAAATTTTCGACTAATGCCCTTTCAATTCCTAAGGTATTTTTCACCATGTGTCCATGCATGATTGTTCAATTTGAATAGCCTAAAGTGTGTCCTGATCGTCTAACGAGACCAAAGGAATTGTAACATGAAAATCATATAAGGAATCCAAAACAACACATCAAAGAGATGATGATGATGATGATGATAATAATAATAATAAAGGACGAGTAAACAATAAAATGCGGCAAAATAGCTGATACGAGTCGGGGTAAAAAATATCACGAGGCCTCATTTTTAAACCATGGGACAATATCCACCGTAAGCCAAATTGAAATCGAATCCAATTTTTTTAAGAGACTAATCTACCTAAACCTAAACTAAACTAGAGAATACCATGAAATGTTCCAAGCACACTTTCACTGGACACTAAAGTAAGTCACTCTCACAGTAAACAAATGATTTACTATTAAAACTTCGATGGCTTAGAATCATTAAGCACACTTGTTTACACCGAAAATTAACCAAGTCATCGGCATGACAATGATTCAATTGAGCACGCGACTTGGATGAGGTCTGGCCATTGGTAAGACACCGATTACATGGGCTCTTGTCAATGGCCATATTGACTGCAAGAATTTTTGTCGACGACTATGATCATCTATCGACATACGAAAATGGCTGGTTGACGATTGACAAAACTGGTTGGGAAAGACACCGATTGAAAGAAGTTGATAAACAATCAAATGAAGAACTATTTAAAAGTTAGCCGCTTAGTGGGTGAAGTGGGCACGAAATCCAGGAGTAGTGAAATTCGAGCCTAAAACTGCTTGTAAATAAGACAATGAATCAAAGCGAATCATGGGTAGGTAGCGAATTTGAAAAGATAACGACTCAAATGAGATCCAAAGTGGCAACGAATAAATATGGAAAATTGAGGCGCAATTTCAAGGGAGAAACCCTTGGAGATAAGATATCGCGGCCACGATAATCTTATACACAGTTACATTGTAGATACTACAAATAATTGCTCACGCACAAACAAAAAAAAACATATAATCTTTCAATTATTTCTCAATTCCTGTACGTAGTTGTAATTTCCAGATATCTCGTCATCGATATCCTAACTATAGCTTTCAGATCTTTGAGATCTTTGTCGCTGATAAAACTCCGGCAAGATTTTATGTACTTTGAAAACCATCTGAGCAATTATTTTCACCTTCAACCTACCATCGATCCTATCAGTGAAGACTCCAGTTGACTAAGAGCAAAAAACCAGCAACTCCAAGCTTTCTCCTCTTACCGGCGACAACCACCGATCGCCAGAGGAATATACGAAGCATCCAACATAACAAAAATATTTTCAGCTTCACTCTCAGCAACTATGAAATACACACATCCTGTGAACATCGTTAATATGCTTTCAGATCGGACAAATACTGGAACCAAAACCGAAATTATTTCTAAGTCACATCTTTGAATCATTTTGTCGAGCAAATCGTGTGCATGGGTAACAAGCATAGACATGGAAGTGATGTGATTTTCTCATCCAAAATCGATACATCAACGACGATAACAGGCTAATCAGCAAAACTTGGCCATGATTCTAAGTGATTTTCTAATACGCCTATTCACGGACCTCGGACTCAGAACTAAAAAAAAAAAAACAAAGGGGTTTGAGGTTACCTGGTTAACAAGCGGAGACAGAGCTGTGATTAGTGATGGTATCAACCACGGGAACTTCGTCAATCGTTGTCGAGTGAAATCGACGCTGACGGAACTATGAGCAGGAACTAGCCACCTCGTGCTTCTCAGCCATAGAACAGGGCCGAATGAAGGACGCCAACACAGTGGCGGAAGAGCTTAACGCGGAGGAGCTGCTCTTGGTCGCGATTTCCAGCCGAAGCGACAAGAGAAAATTTCAGGATGCTTCGCCTGTGGAGATTCGAGCCAGCGACGAGATTTCAACTGGGAACGAGGCCCTTCGAGTTTCTCAGCCAAAGAACAGAGCAGAACAGGGGAGACTCGAGGGGGCAACGTAATGAGAGGGTTAAACCTAAGAATTAATGGGTCAGCCCAGATTGAAAATTAAGGGGACTAGTGCTAATTGGATTAGAAATATTGGGCCTAATTAGAGCTTTATCAATTCAATTTTTTTTTTCATTTTTGGTTCTTTTTTTATCGACAGCAAAATTAAGGTGTCAACTCACAAGACATCATAAGCTACACTAATCTTAGCAAAAGTAACTCTTTCATATACGGTGAGAATTTGCCGAAAGCACCGGTCATAGATTGAATATGTAATTTCAATGAGTCTTTGCTTACATGTTTTTCTTCTCCGTACATAGCAATTTCAGCTTTTGCATCGAATATCCCTTAATATGGGTTCCGAGCCTCGAGCCATTTTCTCTTTGGTCCAATTATCAATCGATCATTCCGTAAGTGGTTTACATGCACATTGTCTCTTTTTCACCATCTAATTATGGAGTTTGGATTTTTCTCCGCATAAGTATTCTTTTCACAAGGATTTGATGATCACGAGAAATTTAAAATAAATTTTAATGAACGGCCTAAATAGAGAATCTGGTACTTTATTCCACCATTAGCTTTGGAATATGAAACTTTATTCT